TCGTGAGTAAACTATCTCCCAGCTGGTCTGTGGGTCTCGGGTCTCTGGTAGTGCTGCATTAACAGCCGCTGCCGGTCATACATGTATGTATATATACATATGTTTATATTTTTTTCGTTTTATGAAGATGAAATTCTTTTTTATTCGAGATTTATACGCCGACGGCCCCCAACTCCCCTACTCCACACGGGGAGCTCTACAAGCTCTGCGCGGCTGGAGCTCCAATTACTTCACTCACTGTTGATTATTATGTTGTATGTTGTAGTTTTATGAGTTGTTGTTGCTGTTGTTGTTGTTGCAGCAGAGATTCCGCAAAATCAATGGAATGGTTGGCTGAATGTGAGTTTCGCTTTTGAGCGAGTGCGTGTCTGAAGTGTGTGGAAATGGGATAAATATTGTATGAAACATTGTTAAAGCGAATATGCCAGTCCCTTTGCTTAATCGCAATTGATTGTATTGCTCTTCTATTAATGGAACAAAAAGTGCTCAAGCATATTAAAAAACATTATCCAAGCACAACAAGAAAATCATAAATAATATTGCTAATGGATGGCGTATCCCAGACAGCATGTTAATACTAATATGGAAATATTCAGCTAATGGCTAAATACTCCAAATAAGAGCTATGTCTGTTTGTTATATATTCAAACTTTAACTCTATTTATTCAAAGCGAAGCAAATATTAAATAAAATTGTTTTCATTGTTTGTTTTTAACAAACACGGACCTCGAGCCAGCCAACAAATATTTTGAAATATGGAAAGGTCGCCAGAGCCATCAATAAATATTCTATAAATATATATAAACCTATCTGCATATACTGCTTAAAGCTTTAAAACATCTTTGATGGAAAGCTGAGTACAAAATTGTAAATATTTATCCTCTAATAAATAGACTAAGAAAATTATATATTAAGAGCATAATCTATGAGTAAACATAAATATATATTTTGATTTCTATTAACTTAAACCTTTTCAATATTATACATTTAGTTTTATTCCAATTAAGGCAGGAGTTAACACTGTTCTGTTATTTGACATATATCTAACTACGATCTAACATATGTTAACACACATAGAGATTTGCGGTCGCCTATTGATGCGATATAGTCCTTACTCTGAGTTATGAATCACATCAATTAAATATAAATTACATTATTATATATCATACACATACATACCAAAAACTTTACCCCAGTTAACTTAATTCTTCAACCAAGCATTCAAATCATTTCGCTTGTCCGCTTGTCATAAGCAACAACTTAAATCTTTTTACTTTTCCTCAAACCTTCATCTTTCAACACATTTGTTAGCCGAGGAAATCTCATATAATTTTCATAAAAAAATATCTATATTATATGTATATTATTTTCAGCGTAAGCCCGAGTCGCACCTGTTGCTACATTTTGGTCTGCCGCTGGGGCTAATGAGCCGGACTTGGGGGTCAGCAGAATGACACAATTTACATAGAATCCACATCAAATGGCAGGGTATCTGGCATATATCATTTTCAATAAGCCGCATCGCATTGCTGCGATATCTTCAGTGACAATCTGGCGGCGAGTTCTCACCGTGCGGCATAAATCACGAGCGGGGCCAACCGAAACCAGTTTCTGTTTCTGTTTTTGTTTCTGATCTAGCGCAAAAGATCTACGCGCATAAATTCAAATTAGATAAAAATAAACTTTTACCAGGCAGGTGATTTAGTACTTGAACCAAAATATAACAACAACCGCAACTCGACGCAGGTGTTTCGATGCCAACTCAAAAAAAAAAAAAAAAAAAAAAAAAATGTGGACAAAAAAAAAGAGAAACAAGTTTTCTAGATTTATTCTCAAGTCTTATTTTTGCCTACTTTACTTCGACTGCGACTTGACATATTTGCCTGCTAATTTCATGTTATTTATGCGGCCGTTGTGCATTTTTTGCTGTACGCCCCAAGTCCCCAAGCAAAGACAAACAATGGAGAGCTTAGAACTTGCTGCCGGGTGCTGGGTGGGGTCGTGAGTTCTCCGGCCTCAGCTGTGGGCCCCTGAGCTCGGCAACTTGAGCCTATTGTTTGTCTGACAAAATGACAATTACATGTTAAGAATTTCAACAAAAAATTATTAAAATAAATATTTGTACGCTAAACAAATTGCCTGTCGAGGCTCCGGTCCAAGCTGTGCATAATTTAATAAATGTGTGTCTGTGTGTTTGTCTGCGTGTGTGCTACACTTGAAAAAATAAAACCAAAAATAAAATTGATATTGATACAGCTGAAATGTGCTTTTGTTTCCACATAAAACTTGATTTTATAGTCTAAACAAGAATCAAGCGTGTAATGTGAGGTTCATTGTCAAGATTCCAAAGACGAACACGTTCTCCAGCTAACAAAGTCCGAAGATCGGAACAACTTCTGCAGTAGCCCCTTAACGCAGACAAGCTGCTGCGGTTGCCAGATTCCTGTCTGACCCCAGAGAGGCGCCCCCAAAGATTACACCCCTGCGACCTGCCTCCGAGGTGAATCATGTACCTTACCCTACAGTATTAGGTCCTCAATCCCTTTCATTGTAAATGTCTCATCCTTGTAAATACTCCTAAAGGTAGAAACTATACAACATGGGTACTATAATCATATTTCAGTCATTCTTTCTTGGTAGAGAATAAATCAGGTACTGAAGGGCGCCAGTCAAATTTCAAATATTGACCAAAAAAATTAACTTCTATTAATCTAGCATGTGCAATTATTCTAAAAGATAAAAAGTATATATACAAAAATATACTAAAAACAATATCCTGATCCTAAAACTAAATACACAGTTGGAATAAATTGACAATTCAAATAAATTCACTAATGAAGTTCACAATAATACTGTGAATTAGTTATCGAGTACTATGAAAACACGAATAACAATTTGTTAAAAAAAAGAAGCCTAATTGATAGATACCCAATAAAACTCTGCCAAGCAGTTAAGACCAGAGCGTATCAACTTGAATGTATTGTCAGTTTTTCACAGGTGATTTATACCTTTTGCCAACCCCATTTTTGCCGCATCCCACGCCTCAAGCTGGCACCTTGAGCAAATAGTAAGTTAAACAAAAACACAACTGAATGGCGGCTCTTTATGCAACACAGCAGAGCAAAGCAGTTGTCGCAACTGCAGTCGCGAGTCGCATGTGAAAATTCACACTGCCATCGTGTGGCAAACAACAACAACAACAACAATTGAGAAAAGGCCTTGGGCCAGACCAGGGCGGGGCGGGTAATGGGAACGGGCATAGGAATTGGCTGGGTTGGCACTTCATTAAATAGACGCTGCGGCGCTTTTCCGAACCGTGCCACGCCCCCAACATTATCCACTGGGGCAACTGAACAGTCAAGCGGCTGCTTATTTTTCACACATGCTCGCCAGGAAAAACAACAACAACAACAACAACAGGGCAAGCAACAGAGCAAAAAGGAAAATAAAAAGAAAAGCAGACAACGAGGCAAAAATTTAAGCAACAATTTTTTTGTCCGCTTTTTTCTTTTTTAAGCGCTGTTGTTTATGATGACAATTTTTTTCGTTGACGACGTCGACATGTGGCCATAAAGTTGTCGGTAAATAACAAACAGGCGTCGACTCTGAGCGCTCAACGCGCCACACGCTACGCAGCAGGCTCTGGAGCGGGTAGGGGTAGGTCGGCGAGTGCCTCCCACAAGGGATGCCAGTAAAATGGCAAACAAAAAAAAAATGAATCAAGAGCCGTCAAATTTTGTTGTCATAGTCGTGTGCACGGCGGACGCTCGAGTTGAGTCCTGACTAAGCCGCAGCGGCATGCAAAAAGTATCTCAGGGATGGCAGGCAAAGTATCTCAGCGAGTCGCTGCGCTCGTAAGCATGTTAAATGCATTTCCTTTTTGGCTGCTAAATGTGCGCAGTTGTATTTCAACTCGATTTCGTAATATCTTTCAGCTGTTTCCCCAGACTTTTGCCTCAAATTATGCCCAATTGAGCGCAACATTTGCCGCATTATGCAAATTGTTTTCATATTTTTATGAATTTTAAAAAAATCGCTTATTTTGCTTTAATGTGTTTTTTTTTTTGGAAATAATGAGCGTGGCATTTGAATGTCTGAGCTCAGCTTAAAAAAACAATGATACTTTTTTTTATTCAGTCTTTGTCTTAAATTATATTTGTACTTAGCTGTTGGAACCTGTTTTATTGTCATAAGCCAAAAAAATTTAATGGGCGACCTTGAAATGTTTCTAATGTGTGACTATAATTAAGGATTAGTCACAGCTTGGCTTGGAATTCATTTAAATATTGTTCTTGGCTAAGTTTAAATTTGCTATGAAATAATTGTCTTGCCTTGAGATGGCTTTTGCGTTTTTTAGAATTGCAATTTTATATATTTTATGATTTATTTATTTTACATATGATATGCAAATGCTATTCTTAGGAAAGACATAAATGTTATAATAAGAGAAAATATTTGAGCTAAAAAATCAATAACTGAAATAAGCTCTACTCCATTAATTATATTAAATTAATTTGTGCAAATGTATGTAACAGACAGAAGGCTGCAACTTTGAGCCCATAAAGTGTATATATGCTTGATAGCCGAGTCGATCTAGCCATGTCCTAGCCTAGTCTGTGCCTATGAACGCGTCGATCTCAGAATCTTTAAGAGCTAGAGACTTAAAATTTTCCTCCTAGTGTCCGAGCAGTACAATTTTCTTTCTGATAACTTGCCCCGTTTCCAAGCAATCGATAAATATCGTTATTGAAATTCTGTTTTCTAAGCAAATTTCTTAGGTTTTGATGGCTAGAGTCACCAAATTTGAGATGTAGCTTCTAGAATATTATCAGATTAAGTATCTTTATGGCTACCGCCCCGGGTATACCTTAGTTGGGCCCTCCCGACTAGAGCACTCTTACTTGTTTTCGGTGGTAAATATCAGAAATATTTTCAGGCCTATAATAAAACACTCGCATAAAGCTAGCTTCTAGTGGATCCAATTATTTTATGGCACTTACCCATAAACTTTCTGAAGCTCTCAAACATGTGTATCCACTCGTCGTCACTAATCCACACACAATTTGGGCTGCATATAATCTGTAATGAAGAGCAAACATATAAATTTAATATGCTGTCCCATAAATTTTCCGCTGCACTTAAAAAACTGAGACGAAATCTTTCAAGTCGAATACAAATAAGTGTTCGAAAAATATCTAAAAATATTTCCAATTAAATTCAGTCTGTCGAAGTGGAAGCGAAACCATTTAAGAAAATAAGTTGCTACCGAAAAACGGAAAATGTTTTGTCATCTGTTACGATTTAAACCAAGCAAAAGGATTGACAACGAAATTTAATACGCAGCGAAAACTTAAACTAAGTGAAAATTAATAGCTGACTCTCCACCAAAAGAGGAAGATGTAGAAAAATAAAAAAAATAAAACTTTCACTTGAAATTTGTTGAAACAAGAAACTTGAAGTGACTTTTTGAACTGTGAACCGAAACAGCAAGATGAGCGGAGTTGAGTTAGGATGAGCTCTGAGTCGAGGCATCATAAATATAAATAATACACATATTTCGAAGTGTGTCTCCCTGTAACTGACACGCTGATGGTTCATTGCAGGGGCAGAGGCTGGGGCAGGGGCAGGGGCAGGGGCATGGACTGGGAGCTGCCGCCTGCATGCCACAGCAATTTGTGTGTGGCAGCCTCTACATAGCGACAACATTTTGACACACTTAAGTGTTAGACAGCCGACTCGACAGAGCTCCGACAGCCTGCATCATCATCATAGCATCATCATCATCTTCATGATCATAGTACAAGTTGTCAGAGGGTCGCGGCGATAAATTTGGAAATTATGAACATAATTCTTCATTAGGCCACGCATCCGATAATGGAACTGAAGAGGCGTCCAAACGTAACGAAACGAGAGTGAAAGAGCAGAAGCGACTCCCCCAAATCTCCCATAAAGCTATCCACAAAAACTGCCCACACTCGCTTTCGTTTGTTGCTGTTGTTGTTGCCGTTGTTGTTGTTGTTGTGGGAAGCCTAACGCCTGGTGATAAATTGGCGATATTACGCATTCGGCTTGGGGATTATTTTCATTTTTGCACGTGGGCGTCACCGAAAGTCCCGCCCAAGTCCCAGCATTTCAAGAATGCCACAAAACGCACACGCAGCGCAATAGATAACCGGACTGGGAGATGGACCCATTGATAGAGCGGCGATTGTATGGTATTTAAATTGAAATAACGTGATTTTTGTGGTCCGCTGGTCACAGCTCCGCCGCATGTCAGAAGTCGAACGGTTGCGGAGGGGGGCGCGCGGAAGAGCAATGCCAGTGGCATAGATTTTACCAAACTATTCCGACTATTGTTTTGCGGTTTTGCGCAGATTTTGTTTGGCTTAGGTTTACTTTTTTTTTTTTGGGTTACTTTTTACAGGCTTAAATGAATCGGAACGCACTTTTCACTCGCTTTTTGGGGGTCGTTATGAGTGGGTGGGTGCGGCTTTTGTTCGGCCTTGTGTGCATAGCTTTCCAGCGAGTTATGACCTGCGGGGCCGGGGTGACATTGGCAATTGGCCAATTTTTGGCGGAGAAATGTTTACAAAAATTTAAAAATCAATAAAATATTGAAGGTGTGTGCCTAAAAACAGTTTAATTAAATTGTTTGTAAATTGAAAATAAAAAAAAAAATTATTTCAGTCTCTCCCCGACGGGGAATTGAACCCCGGTCTCCCGCGTGACAGGCGGGGATACTAACCACTATACTATCGAGGACGTTGAACGTTCTCTGTCTAACACTCAATAAGAAACGTCATGAGCAGCAGTTACGAAAAGAACAAATACCAATGTATTAGCAAAGCAATCACAACGTCAAGGGAAGTGTCAGCAGCAGGTACGAAAGCTCATGTCTGTGAGCCGTTTACCGTTTATTAATCACACACAAATACTAACAAGTTGGGCGTATGTATTTATGCAAATATAAATAGCCAGAACGGCGAATAAAGCTTTTGCGTAAGTTTTGCCATTTGCTTTTATGTGTGTGCGTAGCATCGAATTATTTATGCGCTATTCTTTTTATTCTGTTTATTATGCGATGTCATTGCTGATTTTATGCTTATGAGTGGTTCGGCTTTTGGTATTTCGATAGCGGCAAAGCTCAAAGCAAGGGAATTTCTTTTTAATGTGACGTCACGATTGTTGTGGTTCATTGAGTTAAGCTGTCAAATATGTAGCTGGATAAATATAATAATGTTAACTTCCGATTTGATGAGGAAAGAGAATGTATTAAGGAAACTCTTTATTGTTTTTTCTTCTATTTAAAATGTTTTTTTATTTACCGCATTTAGCCTGCTTTCATAAGGCAATGAAAACTATGTGCATATAAATGTATGTTTGTGTATTTGTGTTTTTTGAGCATGTAAATGCCCATACATAAAAATCGATATACGGACCACAGAGTAATATTACTTACTTAAATATAAATGCATTTTTGGCCCTGTATGCACTTTGATGAATTTCTGCAAACAACTGAGTCGGCACTTATATTTATGTAGCACGTAGGATTTAAATGCACAAATGTATGCACCTTCTCCTTTGTTCCACTTTGGCAACACTCAAAAGCTGTCAACACGTCAACTTTGTTGATAACATCTCTTTAGAGACCTATTACAGAAACTATCAAACAACTGGCAACAACAAAGTGCCGCAGTCCCAAAACGATTTCTAAACCATTCAGTCATAATGCATAAAGCATAAAGCAAAAATAAAAAAAAAAAAAAGCTCGCCTCTCGGTGCTCCACATGTGACGTCGACGTCGACTGCGTTGAGTATCTCACAGTCCAATTCACTCAGTACGACTGCGAGCGCGAGAGCGAGAGCGAGCGAGGTGGGAACAGCGGCACGCGGCGACCACAGAAACCGCAAGGTGCGTTTCTGCTGTTTGCTGTTATTATTATTCGTGTTATTGTTGTTGCAAAACAACCGGCAAAAGGATGAATGAAAAAAATATGAACGCAAAAAAAAAATAGGAGAAACAATTACACAAACAATTCGATTGCAGTCGACGCTGCTGTCGCCGCCGGCAGCATGTACGCCACTCAACTGACACTCAACTGGCAGCGGCAGCGGCAGCGGCAGCGGCAGCGGCAGCAGCAGCGACAGCTCTCCTTCTCGTGCGCTCCCACTCCCTTTTTGTGTGCAATCATGCAAATAAAACATTTTTTATATGCACGCCTTTGTGTGTGTGCGTGCAAAATTTTAACCCAAATATTTTGTAGACATGCAATATTTATGCTACAGCAACAAGAGCAACAAAACTGCAAACAGGCGCAATTACAACAATAACAATAACAGTCAGCAGACAGGCGAGTGCAACAACAAAAATAACAGCAACGTTTTTGATGTAATGGACTTTTGCTATTTTGCAAATGGGTTGATTTTTTTCCACTTTTTTTTTCGCAACAGACAAACCTACCCCCGCCGCAGCTGAATGGGCCTTTGCTTTTGGGCAGCTGCAAATGTGCAAATGTCCCTTAATGCAGCTGTCCCTCAATATTCTCGGTCACACTCTTGCTCGCTCTCCCTCTCTCACAGTTTACAGTGTAAAGCTTGCGGTGTCTACACTCTACACGCTGCACTCTCCGCTCTCCGCTCGACGTGTTTAACGAACAATTTTCGCATGCATTTCTAATTTTCATAAACACATTAAAATGATAATTAAAAGGCATTTCAGTATTTCCTTTTTTTTTCGGTGTTGCTGCGAAATGTTGCCGCATTCGCTGCTGATGCTGCTGCTGCATTATTTATTTATTATGTATGCAAATGCATTTAATTGCATGGACAGCGCTGTCGTTGCTGGCAAGGAGTGGGGTGAGCTTTGGGGATGCCCAGCGCCAACGTCAAACAATTTGCATATTTTAGCATGTAATGAAATTTGTAATAATTCTGCAATTAATTGCGTGCGTGTCCTTGTTTATGGCCACTGCAAACCTACGTGCAACAGCAGGCAGGCAGCAGCACTAGCAGCAGCAGCAGTAACTGGAGCAGTTACAGTAACAGCCACACATCAACAGCAGTAGCAGTAGTCGCTGTGTCTGCCTGTGTGTGTGTGTGTTAGTATGTGGGCTGCCAACATGTGGGCACACATGAATTTCACAGTTGCGGCATTTACTTTTTCACTGCCGCTGCCGCTGCCACTGCTGCTGCTGCTGTTGCTGTTGCACAGTGTAAACACACCGCAGTTGCTTGCGGCATTTGACAAGCTGCGGATTTTGCATTAAAGTGAAAGCTTTTCATTATTATAATGTAACGGTAATGACTATATGACTACTGACATAACAATAAGCGATTGTGGGGCAATTTAATAATTATGCGCGACTATATGCATACCCTATAAAATCTATAGATGCATTTAAATACTTATCAGCATGCTTAATAGAAGTGCGTTACTTTTAAATTAATTAAATATTATTAAATTACAAAACGTTAAATTTTCATCTTAAACGGTTTTCCAGAACTAATTAAATTCGCAAGAAAACTTTAAATTTGGGTTAGAAGCGCAGCAGAATAGATGCTATTTTGTTATTAATATTGAGCCAAAAATATAGATATGCATACTTTTACATTAAAGTGTTAATTTTAAGCTTATCAATAGCTTGTTTATAAAATTGAAGCACTTTCAACAAACAAAACTTGGGGCGCATCGAGCTTGACCTCGTCTCCTGAAATTCACAATGGAAAATAAAGATATTTTCCATTTACCATTTCGCATTTCTATGAATATAGTTTATGTTGCAAGTTTATTGCAAAGTGCCATGTTTACTAGCACATTTCCAGATTAATATTTGCTTATATTAAGTAGCTGTTGCTATTATTATTGAGCCTTGGCTTTACTTGCGGCATGATGGGGCAGACAATGTTATTGCGACGTGCTGCATGTTTATTTTGAATTGTTTGGCATGTTTTCTTTTCATTTGCACCATCATCATCATTATTATTATTTTTTTTTTATCGGAAAACAATAAATAAAACAGTTTGTTTCACTAATTATATATAGTATATACATATATATATGTGCAGACAGGACCCTTAGT